TAGCAACATGCTATGTGTTTACATCCATCGCTGCCATGTTTGTAATGACTTATCACGAGAACAAACGTATTCAGGTGACTTTAATAACATTTCTTACTTAATGGAAACACTGCAGTTGTGACACTGTGTTTTTTCGACATTAACAGAATATCGAAAAAGTTTTGCGCACATTTGCAATGGAAACACAGCTACTGATGTCAGTTTAATAAATGTTTGCTCTCTTTGTGTGAATTCACCTCATACTCCTCCTTGAAGCCGTATCCCTGTCCACACTTCATCTGTGTGATGTGTTGCAGCAGGTCAGCCACTCGGATGGCGGGCTGGAACTGTCCGGCCTGGAACTGACCTGCAGGAACACAAACATCTCCAAGATCAACACATCAAACCTTTTTCTTCCTGCTGATTATCTGATGTGAAGTCGTAGAAATACTCAGGATGTGAGCGCTGACGAAAGACGATGAAAGAAACACCAGGAAAGTTTTCTGACTTTAAAACGTTTAAACCATTTATATAAAACCAAGATTTCCTTCCAGTCGGAGTCAAAGCAGCCTTTCAAACAGACAAAAACATGAAATAATTTGACACTTCATCCCTTTTTGCTTTTAATTTTATGTTATCCTATCTCCTAATGATCCTCAACATTTAAAAACGCTGCGTCATTAAAATGATAATAAGATAAAAAATGCTGAGGCAGCAGAAGGTTTGAAATGTAGAAGCTCACAGATGCACCGAAGAGACAGACGCACACATTCACACAGAGTTCATTATTGGAGTTAATGTTGGAAACTTTCAGCTACTGCAGTGTCGACTTTCTGCTCAAAAAGGTCAGAAACCCCCAATAACTCATTTCATTCTGATTTTTTAATAATATTTAAATATAGATCAAAGCTCTTAAAGGGAACTCATGTTTCAGAACAACAAAACCACAAAACGGGTATATGACTTTTAAATACTAAACTGAGCAGAAATGAACAAACTACCAACCAATAAATAAATAAATTCAAAACATTATAAGGTAATTAATTAGCAGGTTAGCTTGCTGAGTAGGAGGCTACATGCTAAGTTAAAGACCTGTAATGTTTCAGTGAGCTGTGAGACCTTAGCTGTGTGCACGTACCACTCTGGTAGGAGAGCTCCACAGACTCACAGCCACCGTACGGAAAACTCTGCAGGGTGAGAGAGGGCTGGGCGAGTGAGGGCTGGCTGCTGTCTGTTAATGAAGAAACAAAGACATGTTAGCGTGACACTTTACTCATTTAGACGATCCACACAAAAAGACAAAGAGGGAGCCGGTCATGTGGATCAAAACGCAGCTTCTGGTTCAGACGGAGCTGACAGGAAGAAAACCACAAACAAACAAAACAAAACAAGAAACAGAATAACAAAGATAAAGATCTTCTAGTTTAAAAGCCCCAAGAGATAAATCATAGAAACAGGAAATAAAAATGAGGGGAAGAGAATCTTAAAATAAAGAAAATGTGTGTAGTAAAGAGCAGAAAGTTTCAACAAAATTTGTGCTCACTGAAACACAAACTATTTGATATTTCTCACCAAACTATTTTGCTTCTATTATACCAATGTGATATACCAGTGTGTTATATTAATGTGTTATAACAATGTGTTATAACAATGTGTTAACAATGTGTTATACCAGTCTGTTATATTAATGTGTTATAACAATGTGTTATAACAATGTGTTATAACAATGTGTGTAACAATGTGTTATATTAATGTGTTGTAACAATGTGTTATATTAATGTGTTATAACAATGTGTTATATTAATGTGTTATAACAATGTGCTGTAACAATGTGTTATAACAATGTGTTATAACAATGTGTTGTAACAATGTGTTATATTAATGTGTTATAACAATGTGTTATAACAATGTGTTGTAACAATGTGTTATATTAATGTGTTATAACAATGTGTTATAACAATGTGTTGTAACAATGTGTTATATTAATGTGTTGTAACAATGTGTTATAACAATGTGTCATAATAATGTGTTATTTTAATGTGTTACATTAATGTATTATATTAATGTGTTATACCAGTGTGTTATACTATTGTGTTATATTAATATGTTTTAACAATGTGTTATACCAGTGTGTTATATTAATGTGTTAACAATGTGTTATAAAAATGTGTTACACCAATGTGTTATATTAATGTGTTAAAACAATGTGATTTGCCACTGTGCTATAACAATGTGTTATAAAAATGTTATATTAATGTGTCGTAACAACATCTTACAACAATGTGTTAACAATGTGTTATAACAATATGATATACCAGTGTTATAACAATGTGACATATCAGTGTATTATACCAATGTGTTATACCAGTGTGTTATAACAATGTTTTATAAATTCCAACCTTTTCTAAATGTACACAGTCCTGCTTCAGTTTCTTTAAGAGAAATAAAGTTCCAATAAGCAGAGAATCCAGTTAATCTAAAACAGGGGTCACACATACAATGCCCGCGGGACTTTGAGTCGCCCGCAGGACGCCTTCTAAAAACAGCACTGATCGACTGATTGTCATAGGAGCAGCACTCTAAATGCTAAAAAAGAAATCAAAAGTCACCCGTGTGCTCTTTTGAGCTATTATTAAAAAAAACCTTCCCAAACAGCTAGGTTGGTGACCCCTGATCTAAAGCATGTATTCCCAGGCATACACACATACTTGTGGGGACCAACTGGTACTTACTGGGATCAACGCCTGGTACCCATGAAGGGAAAGGTTTTTGGTGTGTTGGGGGTTATGTTTAGGACTAATGTGTGAATTTAGTTCAGGGTAAGGGGTCAGGGCTAAGCTGTAGAAATTAATGGACGTTAATGCAATGTCCCCATAAAGATAGCTGTACTAGACCATGTGCATGAATGTTCTTGTGTTTTCTGATTAATACATGCGTGTATGCAGAGCTATGTGTGTGTGTGTGTGTGTGTGTGTGAGAGATAAGCTCACCAAGGTCAAATATGCATTAAGCCAGGCATGAAATGGAGTCATAGCGGTAGCTCCACAACACTGACTATGATGAAGACATCTCAATGCTAATGGGGAGATTTATTGACCCTACAGGCACAAATGTGTGTGTGTGTGTGTGTCTGTGTGTGTGTGTGTGTGTGTGTGTGTGTGTGTGTGTGTGTGTGTGTGTGTGAGCCAGGCATAAGGCAGTGCTGAGTGTGCCTGACTGCTGAGTGTTGACAGTGTAAGTGAGAGGAATTGGTTTAGAGAGAAAGAAGTGTGTGTTAGGAGGTGGTGTGTGCACATAAAGGCCATTTTTCCTGTCAGTGTGTATCTTAATGCGGTCCTTCATGCTTGGCAGTGTGTTATAAAGTTCCTTCTTCTTACCCTGCGGCTTTATTAAGACTCAGTTATGGATGAGTTTGCTTCTTAGTGTTCATGATTTAACTCTTAACTACCAGAATAGCACTGTACAGCTGTTTCCAGGACTGTACTGTTTGCTTTTTACAAGTCTAAATGGTCCTGAAGTTACATTTTAGGTCAATAAAGGAATAAAACGTGAAGAAAGTGTTGCACCTGATGTTCTTTGTAAAGTGTGAAAATGCAAACGTGATCTTTCTTTCTTTCTTTCTTTCTTTCTTTCTTTCTTTCTTTCTTTCTTTCTTTCTTTCTTTCACTGTGAAGCATGAGGTCAATTTCAGCTTTATTTTATTACTGGACAGCTGAAGTCTCTGTGGTATAGATGAAAAACCTCTTCAATATATAAAACACATCAGACTGCAGCGGAGCAGTCAGACACGAGACAGAAAATACAAAAGCAGCAGAGTCGTATGGAGGTGGTGAGGGGGTGAACATTAAGGTAATGCAGATCAGTATGGTGCAGTATGAGGGCCAAAATTAAGACTATTGCACAACCAGCGGTTGCTACATCCTTGTAGCAGGAGCAGTGGCAGCTGCTACAAGTGCACTGAAGACCATGGAGGCTCACCCAGTGCTGAACAGGACCCAGAATTCTGATGTAGTTCAGGAGCTGCAGTGGTGCTGTGGCTCTGTACAAGCTCTTCATGGATTACAATCTGCAGGACACCTTCAGAGACTGTGACTCTGCTGAAGATCCTCATCACATCTCCTCTGACCACAGCTGAACCTGAGAGGAGCTTCAACACTGAAGAGAATCCAGACTTTCCTCAGGTACAACATCACATCTCACTGCACTGACCATGCTCTATAGAGAAGAATCTTATTAAAACATCCCTGACTTTAACCAGTCATGAAGAAATTTGCTTCTCAGTAACAGAAGAGCAAAATTTATGTACTAAAATTAAAAACTACATGACATTGTAATGCTGTTTTATTATTTTCATTTAATAAATACACTGGCGTGATACAACTTAGTACATATTTGATTGCTTTTGGAGATGCAGCCCCCACCCGGAGAAAAATCCACTGGCCACCACTGAGCAGGAGGCTATATCTATTCCTAATCCAGCTATTAATCAGATTAATGATAGGCCAGCACCACTAACTAAGAAGCCGGGGTTGGCAAACGAGAAGGAGACTATTCATTTTTGTTAGCATTGGAGAGGCTAGCGACTAGCATAGATAGGCTCGCGTTAGCATTGGAGAGGCTAGCGACTAGCACGGATAAGCTGGCATTAGCATCAGAAAGGCTAGCGACTAGCATGGATAGGCTCGCATTAGCATTGGGGAGACTAGTGATTAGCATTAATAAGCTGGCTTTAGCATCAGAGAGGCTAGCAACTAGCATGGATAAGTTGGTGTTAGCATTGGAGAGGCTAGTGACCTATCATGCCTAGGCAGCTCACCTACTTTGACACTTTTTTCTCTATAAATTAGTTCTGGCTTTTCTCATGATTTGGCTAAAGAGAAAAAACTCGCTGTTGATCAATAGACAAGGGCAAATGCAGCTGCTTATTCAGGTGGTAACTAAAACTGCTTCACAGTAATATGTTTATGTTTAATATTTATGCTTGACATCATGTTGAACAGTAAATTCTGTCTAAGGAACACCTGTCAGTGCAACCTCTGGTTGTGCAATAGTCTTAATTTTGGCCATCATTATGAGCTATAGATCAAGAGATGGAGGGATGAATGAAGTGAAATCAACACATTCACATTTTATTTACTTCTCATTTCTCAGAGAACCTTTCAACCGTTGACCAACATGGATAACTGAAATCTGTCTTTGTTGTGTTTGTTCTTGGGCCACTGTAACAGATTTGTTGTGTAGAATCAGCCCAGCTGACGGAGCAGTACAATGTAAGCACGCAGTCAAGATGGGACTGAAAAGCAGCTCACAGGTTCAATCTTGCCTGAGAACATAAAGGTTAAAAATTGCTATCTCTCAGCTGCACTCACCTTCAATTACCCAGCAGCAGCACATTATGTCCAAACAAAATGACTACCATTAGCTGTAATCACCTTACATGCAGCCTAATGCTATGCTGAACTGGACGGGGAAAATAACTGCCTTTCCATGATGCTGTGGAAAAATGACTCCCAATCCAAGCTGAGCTGTGGATAAAAACGGTCTTTTCTGCACAGGAGGCTTTTCTGGACCATCTTCTGCCTTCAGTAGAGACATTTATTGAAAGTGTTTCTGTTGTGCAAAAATTTTCATTCATAAAGCAACAAAAAGCCACAAGCTAAAATGACGTTCAGACTTATTTTTGCTAAAATAGCATCCTTTTACACTAACATGATTATTTTAAAAACAAGAACAGTTTCATGTGTCTCAAAACCTCTATAAAAGCTGCAAGCATTAATCTAAACCTAAAAAATAACTTTCTGCATTTTCTTCAAACTCTATAACTGATGTCACTGCTCATAACAGACTTTTATTGTTGTTTTACTAAAGTACAATAAAATCTGGTTTTGTATGAAAAGCTAAGCAGTATAAAAAAGCTAAAAATAGTAAATTATAAATATTTACACACACTAGATTAAGATAGGCACAATTTAAAGGGTTGCCTAAATGTTGCCTAAATAATTGCCAAAATGTTACATGAGTGTAATAAATCAGAGTTGCAGGTGACTCTCGTCTGGCCCCACCTCCCAAAAATTTTATACACACACACACACACACACACACACACACACACACACACACACACACACACACAC